CTTTTATAAAATATTATTTTTTTATAAATCTTTTTTTAACCAAAGCATCAAGCAAAACAAAACTACCACTAAAATACATAAAATGCAAAGGGACAGCCTCATAAAAACAGCTGAAACCAATGTGTCAAGTATTTACATTTCAAAAATGTCTCTTTTATTCGAAAGTAAAAAGACTTATATAACTTCTGCCCAATAATATTAAGCTAAAACTTCAAACTCGTAGATAATAAAATCACCGAGTATTTTTAAACAAAATAAAACGACGAGCTTCTTGATTTTTTTTTTTTAAATAAACCAATCAAAACGCACACAGAAAACACGGCATTTTTTGAAAACGAAAGAGCCTAAACACCATATTTTTCTTCAGATCTCTCCTTAACTAAGCTTATATTACAAATTTTGTTAAAAATTTCAAGTAGAGATTACCGCCTACATAGCAGATGTCTAGCACATTTAAAACCGGATCAACTCATATTATACTAAAGAATTGTCGGCATTCGTTATTGCTTTAATAGTTGTGTCTTTCTAGCTTTAATAAATATATAATATGGCTGCTTAAACACACAATTTGGCTCACCACCACACTAGGTTTTTAAGGTATTTGAGATTCTTCCAGATTTAAATCCATAAAAAACTTTTAATTTTAGGATTAAATTTTTTATTATAAATAGTAACAAGAAATTTAATTGACATTTTATGCTTGAGTTTAATAATCTTATGTAGATAACAAGTTATTTATATCTAAGTTTATAAAATGTAAAACGTAGTGTAAAAAAAAGACGTGAAAACATTATTTGTTTTGTTTGTTTACATTAAATCATTTTATGGTGACGATAAAACAAGGTTCCAACTTTAAGTTATTTTTGTTATACAAACTATATAAATTGTTATATAAATTTTTGTTATATAAACTTAGACTTTTTCATACTATTTTTAACAAAAATATTTTTTATAATCATTTATAAATTGAAATATTTTTGTTATGTTTTGCGTATAAATAATTTGCTGAGTTGTTGTTTTTTTTTGTTTATTTTTTTGTTTTAAATTTGATTTCATCATTAAACAGTATTGGACTATATATATACAGGTGTAACGGAGCTCTTTTTGTTCTTAGAAATAGCTTACTTCAAAACATAGAGCTAATTTCAAACAATAATATGTTCATGCTTATTTCAAAATAAAAATACATTGCAAAAAATTGCGACGATCGGAGCTTAAGAACAAAAATCCCACATATAATATCCCCCACCCCCAGCCTTTATCGTGGGAGCAACAATTTTATAAAATAAGTTTTTTACTTTTTTTCTCTAGATTTATAAAACATATATATATATATATATATATATATATATATATATATATATATATATATATATATATATATATATATATATTGACATCTTCACTTCAAACAAGGCTGCAAGCAACCACTATTAAAGTTAGAAATTACTGGTAGTTAGAGAAAAGATGAATTTTATAGAGCAAGATAACGATTAACAAATGACTTAAAAGATTGCAAATTATATGAATCAGGAAAACTAGATAAAGAAAGCAAGAATTAACGAAACCTTATATTATATTCAATCAAAAAACATTTTTAAGAGTACAAAAACAAAAAGAGCTCCAAGGATCTTTGAGCTCCTTTCTCTGGTTCCACATATATACGACCTTTTCTAAAAAATCTTTATTTATATTAATTACATTTTTAGCCATTTCTTGTTTCAATAGGTCCCAAACTTTCTTTAATGGATTCAAATCAAGAGAATTTTCAGGACACACAAAATTTTTTTCTATTTAAATACGGGCAAATTCAATAAGACAATTTGAAATTTGTCCTGCTGATAAAATGCAGTCTAGGTAAAATTTCTCATTCAGTTCTTTAAGTGTATACCTCAAACTTTTTTTGCCGGCTCTAGAAGTTACAATTCTTTTTCTCACACAAGCTCCTATACATTAAGTATAAATCAATAATCTACTAACTTCCCCTAACTTACCCAGAGTCCTCCCTTTAGCTAAAAAAAAAAGGTCCTCCCTTATAGCTAAAAAAATGAGCAAAATGTTAGGTTACTTACTAATAAGAAAATGACAGAGGTTTATAATCGAATTAACAATATACAAAAACCTATCAAAAAAGAAAAATAACATAAATATACCTTTATAAAATAAGGTAATTATTTTAAAACTTAACAAAATACTTTAGTAAAAAATCTTTTTAAAATAATAGGATGAATTGAACCACTTTATCGCTTCTAAATACCATAAACATTTGTTAGGGGTAACGTGGGATATTGTTGTTAGTAAATATTTGTTGATAAGTATTATTAGGGAGCGGCGATGTATCAACAATGTTCAACGATGAGTCGATTAATTGTGTTTGATGGACTGAATAACTTATCGAATTCGATATATCAAATGCGATGAATTTTTTAATGCATTGAAAACGATGCATTGAAGTCAATACACTGACGTATTTAACGATGCTAAACAACACATTGTTGCTAAACAACACATTGTTGCTCCCTAAATTTTATCAGAGTAAAAAATGTTATTGTTTGATACACACAAATATATTATCAAAAGAACTTTGGTATTTTTTCAATGAGCCTTATTATTATAACACTTACTGGAATAATACATTAAACATGCATATTATACCACTGTGATATAATATGCTTGCTATGATAAGAAGTATGGAGTAGAAGGTGGTTAGAAGATATACTTAGAAACATTGAGTATATATATATATATATATATATATATATATATATATATATATATATATATATATATATACATATATATATATATATATATATATATATATATATATATATATATATATATATATATATATATATATATATATATATATATATATATATATATACATATATATACATATATATATATATATATATATATATATATATATATATATATATATATATATATATATATATATATATATATATATATATATATATATATATATATATATATATATATATATATATATATATATATATATATAATTAGTAAATTTCAGCTACTATATATGTTAGTGAAATTCACTAATTGTTGATAACATAACGTACAAACGTTTGAGTTTGTAAATTTTACAAATTCAAATTAATGTTTGTAAGACGTAAATGTTTAACAGCATTTTTAATATTGGTTGTTTAATAAAGCGTTAAAACCGGTAATTAAATTAAATCCCTTTTTATCAAAAGTATTAAAAAAATAAATAATCGTGACTTAATAAACTCATAACTTTAATAATTGGATTGCAAATATTAATTGTCAGTTAAAAGTATTTGTAATTTTTTTTTTCGATATTTTATCAAGTATTGTTTTATGAATCTATTTGTGTGTTGCCTTTTGAACATTTTGAACATTCGAAAAAGGCGAAAAATTAAAAAATAGTTGAAAAAGAGCAATGAGCATTTAAAAATATTAAATAATCAAATGAATTTCAAAATTAACAATTTAAAAAACAATACTAGATAAAATTGGTTATTTTATGATTTATATTAAAAAGGTTTTTAGTTTAAATACAATATTATTAAATAAATATTATAAAATAGTCGGATTTGTTAATATTGTCATATAATACGTTCGTCGAATGACGTACATAACTAACTATAAAAAATCGCTAACAAAAAAGTAATTACTTTTGCGTAGATCAAGCAACCCAAACGACTAAACCAGTAAGTAAAATTGAAAATAGCTAATATGTTTATTTTTTTCCTAGAAATAAAATAAAATATATAGTTCAGAAAAAACGGCACGAAGAAAACATTTGTCTTTCTATTAACGAAACCTCGTAGTTGGTTCGAAAAATCAAGAAAAATCTAACTGTCAAATTTTCCACAGTGTTCTCAATAGCCAGTGCAGCTTGCAGGATGAAAACGTAGGCCTAATTGTACAATTAATTGCAATACCATCATTCATGCGAATGATGGTATTGCAATTAATTTATTAAGGTGGCGAAATAGCTTTAAAAGTTTAATAAGATCACAGTGACACCTAATGGAATTCACAACATAATAGTAACACCTCTGTGACACTTCTTTGACATCTCTGTGACAACTTAAATAATCAGAAATTGTATTAGAGAACAAGGTTAGAGTAGTTCAAAATTAAAACTATTTTCAACTGCGAAACAAATGAAACGTCGATATGATGTTTAAAAAGAATTATAAAAAAAGAGGCTTATATCATTTTGAAAAAAATGCTTTTTAGTTAGGTAAGTAAAAATTAAAGATTAATTTTATGTGATAGTTTGGAGTAGTAGGAGTTTGATAAAAATGGGAAAATTCATACTTATTGATGACAAAACGGATGACGGATGCTACTTTTTTTTTTTTTTTTTTTGCCTTATAACTCTATTCAAAACCCTTAAAAAGGAGGTGACATTATTTGTCTTATTGCTAAAATGTATTACAAAATTCTCAAACCCAAATTGCGACCCGAAATTTGGTCAACTCAATGTCAAATTGCCTAGAGGCCATCAAACCCAAAAGAGTCCACACTCTTTTACATAAGTTTTGAACTCTACAGTTATTTTTTTTTTGACGCAGCTTTTTTGCCTTTTTATTAGATTTCTATTATTTTTTATTAGATCTTTATTGTACAAAAAAAAAAAAAATTTTTTTTTAACAAAATCTAAATCTTTTTATTGATATTCTAATTTATTCTTCAAATAAAAATTAGCAAATAAAAATAGCTAAAATTTAAAATTTTTGCTAGAATGTTTCCTGTAGCGTAGAAATATTTATCTAACATAATGTAACTAGAAATATTAGCAGTTTTGATGCAAATATAGCTAGCAATATTCTTTGTCAAAGAATATTTTAAGAGTTGTTGGTAAGTAGTTATTGGCTTTTGTGGCTATCGATTCTTTGTTTATCCCATTCTATATTTATTAATTACGATTTTTCCAGAAGGTAATTTACATATAAAGAATATTATTGCTTTTTTTTTTATTTTCTTTTTTTTTTTGATTAAAAGGTTTAACATATAAAAGATAGTTATAAAAATAAATATCATGATTCTTAAAGTCATTGGTAGCATTTTTTTCCCGCCTCTTATTTGGTTTGTCTACAGTTACATCAAACATCTTATAGAATGTTTGTACTATCCGAAAGGACCAGTTCCTCTACCGTTCATAGGAAATACAAACTTATTAAGAAAAAAGGAAACTTGTAAAGAGTTTGTTAATCTTGGGAAGATATATGGTGATATTTTTGGATTCAGCATTGGTTCTATTAGATATGTAATTGTTAACAACTTAGAAGGTATTCATGAAGTTTTAATTAAAAAAGGCTCACAATTTTCTGGTCGACCAAAGATTATATGTAAGTAATTCATCTCAAGTTAAAACATCTCTGTCTACTGTATGTTTGTAATTTAATTGTTAATTAAAAAAAATGATTAAAAATAAAAAAATAGTATATATATTCAACTCTTATTGATAATTATAATTGCTATTGTTTTAAATAATAGTTTTGTAGTTTTATTTTTGTTTTTACAGATATATAGTAGTATTAATAATAATTAATTATATATTATACGCAAAATTAACAATAACAACAATAAAAAGTGAAGCATCTTTTATTTTATTTTGTGTACTAAAATATAATTAGTATTCAAATAGAATGCATAAACTTATTAGAACTATCTTTTATTGGGTAGAATGGGGCACATTAGCGCATACTTTTATTTATTTTTTATTTTTTTTATTTATTTTTTTGTTTCTTTAAGGTAATATTATAACTCAAATCTAAAAAAAACTGTTTAATAATTATAAAAATGTCAACAAACCCCTGATATGTTACAAGAAATCAAATTGTCAAGTTACAAGCAATAAATTCTTGCATAGTATCAGGCAAGGGCAAAATAGGCGGACTGGAAAACTAATGAAAATAGTCTTGACTGTAAATAAGTTACGTTGCAATATTATATAAAAAAGAACGACAACGACTGTTGAAAAATTCGCCGTAGAGTCAACGGAGAAAGTCCAGCAGCAAAGTGACAACACTTTCTCCGTAAAAATTAACGGTTTCCGTAGTTTCTATTTTCCATAAAAATCAACGGAAAAAGATACAGGAAAATTTCCGTAAAATTTCCGGCTTCGTATTTCATTTTTCGGTACAAATTAACGGAAAACTTCGCTAATTCAGTTACTCAACTTATCTTAGAGAGTTTACGCAAAAGTCAAAAAGAAATGAATAGAAGTTATATGTTGCTATAAAAATGTAATCCGACAATTAAGAAACTACTCGTGAAATGATTAAAAATTATAATATAATACACATTAAAAAAAGCTCAATAGTTTTGAGTACTTTAGCCACACAAAACATTTAAAGAAAATCAATTTAATCATATTGACCATATAATTTAATCATATAGCACAATCGCCTAAGTCATTTTTTTATTTTTTAATTAAAACGCTGTTAAAATTTTTGCGTTGTTAAAATAATATCATAACGCATCAAAATATTTGTGATGCGAAATTTTTTGTGCCAAAATAATAAAATTAATTTTTTTATGAAGAAAAATGTTATCTAAAAATCCAATCTATTTTTGTTTGAAAAACAATGCATAGAATCGTTTAGTTTTGACTTTATTAAAAGATGCCATTGTTGTTTAATATGAGCATGCTCAAACTACCCAGTGTTTTAGATTGAAAATACCTAGTTTAAAGTCCTAAAATAGGAGTGGTTTTAATTGCTTTTTGCATAAAAACAAAATATAGTAAAAAAATTTAATATTTTAACAATACTATATATTTTAAGTAATTTAAATTCAAAAAATATGAATTTTTATTGTTCAAAGGTTTGAGTTGAGTTAAGATAAATTCGAGCATCCGTAGCACAGTGGTAGCGCACTTGCCTTAGAAACAAAGGAACCGTAGTTCAAACTCCACCTCTGGGCAAGTTTTGTGACATCGCTTTGGAAGGAGGCGTGAACTTTCAATTATATACTCATCTGCAGTGCTCTGTGTTAAGTCCGTAAGGACTTCTTGTGGCACCTAAATAAAATAAAAAATTAAAAAAGATATTATTGCTGTTTAAAGGAGCTATCATCTATTATTTCATCAATCAAAACTCATTCTCGCTTGTTTATCTCAATTATTATCAAGACCTATTGTCAAAACATTATCGCTGTTCAAAAGAGATAATATTTCTTGTTTTATCAACCAAAACTCATTTTCGCTTGAAGCGAGAATGAGTTTTGGTAGATGAAACAAGAGACAATAGCTCCTTTGAACAGTGGCCATGATAAAGTTTGTAGAAAAGAAAAAGAGGTTCAAATTTATAATGATGGTAGAGAGAGTTAAGCTTGGCAAATAAAACAGGTCCAACTACATTAACATTTTCTCAAAACTACATTTACATTGACTTAAAACTACATTTACATTGGCTTAAAACTTTAACAAGTAAACAATTAAAAAGAATTATGACATATAACAAACTTTGCTTTATTGTATTTAAAAATAAAATGAGGTGGATAAACTGCCTTTTTTGTCGCTAAATCTGTTAACAACTCTATTCAAAAAAGATATCCGAAAAATAAGACAAAAAATTTTAAAACCATCCATTTTAATGTTCCATTAACCAATTTTGCTTTTTGAAGCAAGTTGAATAATCACAGGCATATTCAACACAAAAGAAATTTGTCATTAAAAACTATTTAAAAAGATTGTCACCATTATAAAAACCAATTTAACAACATAAAATATAGTGGAAGACTAGAACCAATAAAAAAAACATCTCGCTAAGGTGTAAAGAGAAAAATAAACATTTAAAAAATTACGACCAGTAAAACGACAGTAAAACGATAGTAAAACGCTTTCAAAGTTGTAAACCTTATGATTTCCTTACTTAATTGGTTCAGTGCTTTCCGAACATTCTCCTCCATCAAATTTTTAAAAATCACTCTTTGTTTTTTTAAATTCCATAACTAGTTAATTCTTTTTTTTTTTTTTTCTTCAAATTTTCACAACTACATATTAGTTACAATTTTTTTACACTGCGATAACATAAACAAAATATACTTCCTATACAAAAAAATAATATTTTACAAAATACCGATAAACATAGGAAGCAATAATTAAATAAAATAAGATAAACATAGGAAGCAATAATTAAACATGCTATGACATGATAAGGGTTTTGGTTGTTGTAGGGAACTCGTAGAAGTCTGAGATTAGTCTTATCATCGAGAACCTTGGGGTATTGCGTAAAGTACACGTAAACATTATGATTCTCATAAAACAAATATTTTAAATGTTATTGGTGTAGACTTTTTTTTTATATTTACTATGTATGGTGTTAGCATTGTGGTTTATAATAATAATATTAGCTTTATTTTTTATATAAAAAAAATACATTTTCATTTTTGATTGATTGGTGATTGTTTGAATGTGAGCGTAAATATTAATTTATCATTAGAACTAAAACATTTTTAAGTAACTATCTGTATTGAGAACATGATTTTTGACCTTTGACTTTAAAGAAGTTATACTGTCAGGAAGAGAAATTGAGGTATAATTCGGAATTAATTTGTTATATAAATAAGGGCCGCGATAAGAAATAGAAAATTGGGAATTTTTTTGTCTTTTCCGGGGTACAATAAAGTTACCAGTTGATCTTGTGTTAAATTTGTTGAAAAAACTAATCCTAATTTGTATTTTAGCATGAACAATATATTAGCATAGATATTAATTTGATAAATGTTTAGCGCTTTCATTTCTTTTAATAGGAGTTTAGCGTGGGTCAGTTTGTTCTTATGATGTATTATTCTAGAGGCATGTTTTTGTCGTCGATAAAGGGACATTAACTTTGTCTTGTGTATGCTACCCCAAGCAATGTTGGCATATGTAAGATAACTATGTATATAAGAAAAAGTAAAGAAGTTTTAGTTTTTTTAGTTATAAAAATGGTCTAACTTTAAAAAGTATACCAATACTTTTAGATATTTTAGTGTTGATGGCATTTATATGGGCTGTCCATGAAACATTTTTGTCAATAATCACACCAAGAAATTTAATTGTTTGCGTTCTTTCAATTTTTTTGTGTTCGATACTTAGTGAGGGTAGAATTGATTCTCTTAATACTGTTGCAACATCCAGAGATTTTTTTTTTTTTATTACAATATTTAAAATATTAATTACTTAATTACAAATATATCAATAAAAAAAAATTACATGCAAAGAAATCGTTAAAAAATAAAGAATAAGATAAAGAACGCGGGTACTCAAAAAAGACCATACAGGTATTGTCACCGAGAACCATTGTTGAAGAACTTTGAACTTAATTTAGATTTTAGAAAAAACAAAAATAAATAAATACAAGTTTTAAACTTTTCTTTAGTTATGGTCTTTATGGCTTGGATTAATATACTAATTCTTCTGAACCTCATGACTCAAGCGAAAATAATAATATTATAATATTCTTGATAAACAAATACGTCTCGCATCTTTACTTTTTTTTATATTAATAATAATAATAATAATATATATATATATATATATATATATATATATATATATATATATATATATATATATATATATATATATATATATATATATATATATATATATATATATATATATATATATATATATATATATTTTATTAAAAAATTAAATTCAATATTAAAAGTATATACCGTTTGTAAGGCAAACTATTTACAAATATTACGAATTAAAATAAAAATTAAAGTAAACAAGTAATAAATAAATATAGCAAATAAATAATAAAGTAAACAAGTAAATTCAAATAATTGTGTTTAATTATAATTTCTCACATAAACGTTAAATCAATATTGTATAAAAGTAAAATATAAATGAGTGATGACAAAACTGGGTTTAATTAAAAGTATATAAATATATTTTCAATTGAGAAAATTACTTTTTTTGTTTTCTTTTGAACATATAATAATTCCATTCATGAAAAAAATCAAAATTTTTTAAAATTATATGGTTCCATAAACTAGCTCTACGAAAAGAAATGCGAAATTTACTAAAGTTTGTTTGAAATTTTGGTTGTTTAATAAAATTGTCATTTCTTATTTCAAAAAAAATATTTATTTTTTTCTTTTAAAGAATATAAATCAAAAAATAAAGCTGGAGATGAGTTGGTTTTACATTTAAACATAAAACAAAGAACATTATAAACATTTACTTGGTATATATTAAAAACATTCATGTTAAATTAGAGTGGCTTTGAGTGAGTAAAACGATTTTTGAAATTTATAAAACCTGCAATATGCTTTAACTGACAATAAAGTGACTTTAATTTACTTTTATGGGTACTACCCCATGCAATATTAGCATAATTAATATGAC